CAGGTGAGGCTGTGGTGGCTGGGAGCGGCCACTGCACTCCAGCCTGGGCGACAGAGTGAGGCTCCAACTCAAAAAAAAAAAAACAAAGAAAAGAAAGCTGTGAACCTGTCGAAGACAGGAAGAGGATCCTATTAATCTGGGTCCCCAAGCCTAGGAGCACCACAAACACTACTGAATAAATATTTCCCATGTCCAGGAAGAATCAATCAGCAAGAAATTAATTTTAAATTAAAGCATAAGCGATTCGGGGCAGATAAGATACACCTTTGACTGTCAGAGACCATGAAGAAAATTCAAGAATATCTAATATTAAAAAATTAAGAGTATATTAATATTTGTTCAGGATAGTTCACACAACCATCTTCTCAAAGGAAGGCATCTAGAGTTGGCAGCGTCTCCAATTCCTCTCTAGGTATGGGATTTCTACTTCTATTATTCTTTCCCAGAAGACCAGGGATCAGAATCACCAGCCTATTCAGAAATCTTATTTAGGAGGGAGAAGGAGAGCAGATGGCCAGCCTTGGGTAGAGCCATGCTGGGAGCTTTAGAGGCTCAGTTTCCACCCCAGTGCTGAGCTTTACAGAACTCTCAGAGGGATCCAATTCCATGCCTGTCCCAAAGATCAGATAATCAAGTTCTAAGGAGTCCGATCACAGTTGAAAGCAGGAGGCAGACAAGCCCATATTGCTAAGAACACCACTTCGAGCCTGAAATGACAGAGCTACACCAAATGCTGACAGCAGTTGTCTTCCAGCAGTAGGACCTGCAGGATGTTTAGGTTTTCCACTTAAAATGTTCTCAAATGAACACATAGTGCTTCTGCAGAGAGTAAACTATAACTTGTTTCTATATTCTCCAGATGTTAAAAGGATTCAAAGGATTCTTTGAATCAATTTTCAAGGTCCAGTTGCTTACCATCCCTAAAAGAAATTTAAATGATGTTCAGAAAAAGAGCTGCTTTTTATGTCCCTCCCCGCTCCCCTCTGTTGAGCAAACAAGGCTTTGATTAACCCAGCAGTCACTGAGTCCACATCCTGTACCTGTCTGTAGCTGGTACCAGGTAGGGTGAGGCAATCCACAACTCACCATGGCCATGACTCCAGGTCAAGATCAGAGGTCAGTCACCCAAGCAGGCGTTCCTCTGTAATAAAAGCAGAGGAGAGATTACTGTGATGAGGGAGAAGGCACTCAAATAATAAATCAGAAAAACGTGCAGTTTGCACAATATTAAGCTATGAGGAAATGACACTTAATCATAAGGACAGCTATTGATTAGCCAGAGATACAAGGGCCAGGCTAATAATTAAAGAGAAGCTATTATCAAGTAAACAGTCAAGTTCGTTATGCAAGCAAGATATTCTCCTACCTGCTCATCTGTTTGGAGATACACACTACAGAAAGCATTCCTATTATTTTGCTAGTGAAATGCTCAGCCAGATACACTAAGGGGAACCCGAAAGATCCAGGAATGACCTTTTGGAGGGTGGGGCCCTTGTGGTACACTTGTAACTTACTTCTCCAGATCAAATGGTCCAACCAAAGTTTTTATTTGGAAGTTTCGAGAAGGTCAAGTTACACTTTGCAAAAGAAACGTCCTGAGTTGTGGCAAACAGGTGACTGGTTCTTCCACCATGACAATGCATCTGCCCACACCACACTGAGTATTCAGCAGTTTGACCAAAAACAGTATGACCCCCATGCCCCACCCTCCCTATCCACCTGATCTTGCCCTGAGTGACTATTCACTCTTCTATTTCTCCCCAAGCAACTTTTTTTGTTTTCCCAGATGAAAAAAGTCCTCAAAAGGAAACATTTTGCCAATATGGAAGAGGTGAAACAAACAAAAAAACCAGGAGAAGCACTAAAAGGCATCATAATCGACGAGCTGAAAAACTGTTTTGAGCAGTGGGAAAAGTGTCTTAATAGGCATATTGCATTCAATGGAGAGAATTTTGAAGGTGACTGAAGTTTAAACATGTAAGAATACATAATTTTTTATAAACAAATCCCAGGTTTTTTGGATCCCCCCTGGTAGATTCTAAACTGCGCACTATAGTGGATCAGAAGAGATGTCCCTTTGAGAGAAGAGATCATCCAACTCCATCAGGGAAAAGTCCAGCACCCCGGCCAACACTGATTGCGCACGAGCCTGTGTGTATGTGTAATGATAGGACAGCAGCCCAACCAATATTAGAATCTTTTTATTTTCCAGTGGCTATTTACACTGACACCATTTTAGGATGAAAGACATTTCTTCCCTTTAAGCTGCAGCCTCATACACTCAACTTTGTCCTCCGTTTTCATCACCCCCTCCTTCATCAGGAAGACTTAAACCATCACATATTTTTTTCCAGTTGTTCAGAATGCAAGAAATGTCTTCATTGTAGGCTAGGACTCTTGTGGGATTCACATAATACACAGGCAGGCACCTAAAGGGTAGGCCAACTGCTTCCTGTTCCCATATCTAAGTCATATGAATAAGGCTCCTTTTTAAAGCATTTAGTTAGATCATTGATACTCAGAGTCACCCTAGAACCAGAAGTACAGGTGGCCCTGCTATCTTGTTAAAAATGCAGACTCTAGGCCGGGTGCAGTGGCTCACGCCTGTAATTCCAGCACTTTGGAAGGCTGAGGCACTTTGGAAGCACTTTGGAACACTGCTTGAGCCCAGGAGTTTGAGATGAGCCGAAGCAACATAGCAAGACCTCATCTCTACAAAAATAAAAACAAAAAAATTAGCTGGGCATGGTGGCACCTACTCGAGAAGGTGAAGAAGGATCTCCTGAGCCCAGGAGGTCGAGGCTGTGGTAAGCCGTGACAGTGCCACTACATTCCAGCCTGGGCAACATAGTGAGACTCCAACTTAAAAAAACAAACAAAAAACCCCCCAGAATCTCAGGCTTCTACCCCTGACTTACAGCCAGAATCTGCATTTTACAAAATTCCCCAAATATTTGTCTGCACAGTAGTTTGAAAAGCACTAGCCTAGATAACATGACCAAGCAGTACACCTTTCGATGACCTTAGTCCTTCTTAACTCACTTGAGTAACACCAGCACATGTGTGGTCACATTTGCTTTTCACCTTCCAGTTTTCCTCAGGCCCAGACCATTCTGCCTTGTTTTAAAATTCATTGCAGGCTCATCTCCTATTACATAGGGGTTGAGACCTTTCCTAAGGGGACACCCAACAGGTTTGGAGGCACAGCCTGAGCAAAGGTGCAGAGGTGGGAATGAGCAGTGGGTTAGGGATAATGAGAGGAGGGTGTGGGAGCAGAGGGCTCATTCCAGGGAAGGCTCAGAGACAAGGTTAGAAAAGCAGAAGGGACTGAATAGTAAGAGCCTTGTACGCTCAGCCAAGGAGTCTGGCTTTACAGCATATTTTAGGTAAAGGGGAAATCCTGAAAAGCTTTTTGTTCTTTGCAGGGAAAAGAAAAAAAGCAAGGCATTCCATACTATAGTGTAGACTGGAGTGAGAGATACAGGAGCAACAAGGAGTCAGGAGGGCTTGAGAGACTACTACAGGGACAGACAGGTAGAGGCTAAGATCTGGGCTGGGCGTGGCACTGAAGAGTGGAACCGGAGGGGAGACCTCCCAAAAAGCCAGAATTATCTTTTGGAGGGTGGGCCCCTTGTAGTACAGGCTTCTCCTGCGAGGTGTGTTCCAGGAACCCATTGGCATCAGTGCACCAGCTAGTGTTGTTGTGAGAGGCCGTGTTTGGCTTTAGTGAATTTCTTGGGGGGTTTCTTTAAACGCATTTGCCCATTTGATGATGGGTGACTTACAAGCACACCAACCCACACCGCACTGAGTGTTTATCAGTTTTTGACAAAAAAACAGCGTGATCCCCGTGCTCCACTCTCCTTAGTCAACTGATCTTGCTCCAGTCAAATTTTTTCTTTGTTTCCCCAGATTAAAAATGGCCGGGCTCGGTGGCTCAGCCTGTAATCCTGCGCCTTGGGAGGCTGAGGTGAGTGAACTGCCTGAGCCCACGGGTTCGCGACCCGCCTGGGCAACTTGGCGAGATCTCATCTCAACAATAAGTCAAAAAAAAAAATTAGCCGGGCATGGTAGTGCGCACCTGTAGTTCCAGCTACTTGGAAGGCTGAGGCGGAAGGATCGCCGGAGCCCAGCAGGTAGAGGCTGCAGTAGCCGGGAGAGGCCACTGCACCCCAGTCTGGGCAACTGAGTGAGACTCCAACTAAAAAAAAAAAAAAGAAAGAAAAAGAAATGACAAGTTCAAAAGCTGTTTTGAGCAGTAGAAAAGGCATCACAATAGGTGTATTGCATCAAACGGAGCATACTTTGAAGGTGACAAGTTTAAACATGTAAAAATAAATACACAATTTTTTATGAATAAATTCTGGATTTTGGGTCCTCCCTTTTACATGAGATGATTGGCAGACTTTATTGGAATATAGAGATGTATTATTCATTCAATCACCAAATATTCACAAAGTACCCCTAAATTCCAGGCACATTTTTAGTTGATAGAAATAACACAGACAAACAACCTGTTTTCAAGGAATTTACCGTCTACCAGGCTGGACAGACAACAAATAAAAGAATGAAAAAATAAGATATATTCTGATACCAGTAAGATTAAACTATAACAACATAGCAGTATAGAACAGGGGTCAGTGAACTACAGTAGCTCATGGGTCAAATCTGCTTTTGTACAGCCTACAAGCTAAAAAGTTTTTTACATTTTCAAATAGTTGACCAAAAAAATCAAAAGAAGGCATTTTCTTTCTTTATTATTTATTTATTTATTTATCTTTTGAGTTGGAGTCTCACTCTGTCGCCCAGACGGGAGTGCACTGGCCGCTTCCGGCCACCGCAGCCTCGCCTGCTGGGCTCCAGCAATCCTTCCGCCTCAGCCTTCTGAGTAGCTGGAATTACAGGCATGCGCTACCACGCCCGGCTGATTTTTTGATTTATTGTAGAGATGAGGTCTCGCTGCCCAGGTGGGTCTTGAACCCACGGGCTCAGGCAATGCACTCACCTTAGCCTCCCAAAGGCACGGGATTACAGGCTGAGCCACTGAGCCTGGCTTCTTTCTTTATTTTTTAAAGACTTTATTTATTTATTTAATTTATTTTTTTTTTTTTTGAGTTGGAGTCTCACTCTGTTGCCCAGACTGGAGTGCAGTGGCCACTCCCGGCCACCACAGCCTCGACATACTGGGCTCCGGCGATCCTTCCGCCTCAGCCTTCCAAGTAGCCAGAATTACGGGCATGCGCTACCACGCCCGGCTGATTTTTTGATTTATTGTAGAGATGAGGTCTCGCTGCCCAGGCGGGTCTCGAACCCGCGGTCTCAGGCAATCCACTCACCTCGGCCTCCCAAAGGCGCAGGATTACAGGCTGAGCCACCGAGCCCGGCTGAAAGACTTTATTTTTTAAGAGAAGTTTTAGGTTCACAGCAAACTTGAAAGGACAGTACAGTGATTTCCCATATACTTCCTGACCTCACCTGTGCAGTTTCCCCCATCATCAATATCCTCTACTTGGGTAAAAGAAGAATATTTTATGATAAGTGACAATTATATGAAATTCAAACTTCAATGTCCATAAACAAAGGCTTATTGAAACACAGTCCCACCCATTTGTGTATATATTGTCTGTAGCTACTGTCATGCTTCAACTGCAGAATTAGTTGTGACAGAGACCATTTGGCTCACAAAGTTAAAAATATTTACTATCTGACCCTTCACAGAAAAAGTTTGCTGAACCCTGATATGGAAGGTGATCTGATCAGAGTATCAGGAAGGAACTGGGCCAGGACAGGGTGATCAGGGAGGAGTCTCTGAGAGGATGACATCTGTGCTAAGACCTGAAAGAAGAAGCTAGCCATTTAGAGTCCAGGAGAAACTTTTCAGGCAGAAGGAGCAGTTACTGCAAAGGCCCTGAGGTGGAAATGAGTTTATTGTGTTTGAAGGATGGACAAAAGCACCATCAACAAGGGCCAGGGTGGCATGAGAGGAAAGGCCATGTGATATTGTGGCTTATAACAAGGAATATATATCTAGTCTTCTTCCTGTTCCTGGCACAGAATTCCTAAATCCCTAGGAATCTCTCAAGTGATTAGAGCAATAAAGATGAAAGAACATCTTTTGTTATTCATAACAACCCCCTCCCAACCATACCTGAGTTTATGTGAACCCAGTAATATCAGGCCTCAGGGCATTCAGTCACCAAATATAGCTGTAGCTATGGTTAGAAGTTACAAATATGTTGTTTCTAAGTTTGCTTTCACTCTCATAGAGGACAATTAATTACCTTCGTGTCCTGACCCCTAGGGAAGGGGGACACTGCTGCTACCCCTAAGGCTGATAAACATATTATCTCTTAACAACGGACTCAAGACTGCTTGAGGGTCAGGCGTGGTGGCTCAGCAGAAGACTGGGGACTTAGACCCTACAAGCACCCAGGAGGGAAAAATGAAGTTTTATATAAAGGATCAAGAATCAGAATGGCATCAGATTTCTCAGTAGTAACACATCAAACTGGAATACAATGGAACAATGCCTTTATAATGCTATAAGAAAGCAATTGGCAGTAGTAGAAAACTGTCAGGAGAGCGGGGGGTGGGATTGGCAGTTGAGAGAAACTGCTGGGGGAGGGAAGGACATACTTCATCAACAAGGGTACTTGCATGATCAATGTTTATATACCGAACCCTGAATTGTACCCCACATCTTTAAAATAAAATAAAATAAAACAAAACATTCACATACAAAAATTCAGAGGGAGGGTAGAGCACGGTGGCTCAGCCTGTAATCCCAGCACTTTGGGACACCAAGGCAAGAGGATTGCCTGAGCCCAGGGGTTTGAGACCAACCTGGGCAACTTGGTGAGACCTCATTTCTACAATAAACCACAAAAACTAGCCAGGCATGGTGGTGTGTATCTGTAGTTCCAGCTACTTGGAAGGCTGAGGAAGGACTGCCTAACCCCAAATGGGTCAAGACTGTGGCGGCCATGAGTGTGCCACTGCATTCCATCCTGGGTGACAAGAGTGAGAGTCCAACTCAAAAAAAGACTGCTTGAGGACAAAAATGAGGTTTGAAGGACAAAAGCTGCTTCAATCTCCAGGGACGCACCTTTCCTTATAGCTTCCTCCTAAACTACCTCCATAATGGCTCATGGCCAAGAGTGTAGTAACTGATAGTAGTGGGACTTGCTTTATAGATAGCAAGTATTGCAAAATCTAAGAATGGTATTTGAGATATTTTTTCAGACTCAGATAGGAGGCAAATGCAACCTAATAAGAAAGGCCCCACCCGGGCCCAAGAAGTCAGCTCCACTGGCTTGTGATACCCCTTCTCAGAAAATTGGCTCTGCAACAGGATGACAGTCTTAACACCCCCTCCTCCTCATTCAGCTGCTTTGCGATAATTAAAATCTTTTTCCATTGAAATGGTGACATCAGTTCTGGTTTTTCTGGGCAGTGGGCATAAGAACCCGGTCAGGCTGTAACAAAAGAATAGTGGAGGCTGAGGGTGGAGGATTTGAAGAGCTTCCAGGTTGGTGAACACATGGAGGTGTTGGGAAGGTGGCTATGGAAACTCTAAGCTCCTCCCTGTGAAGAAATATGAGGCTCAAATAAGCCAGCAACAATTGGGTAAATTGTACTGAGGAAAGGGATCTCAGGGTACACTTTACAGATATTCACAAGAAACACTGACCACAACAAGAGTTGTAAAAGCTTGCTGACTAGCTGTAAATCATTGTTGCAAACTTACCTTTAGCTGAGTGCTACAAATGAAAAAGCGGTTAATCATTGCTATTAATTAACCCTATCTTAAAGAAACAGCCCAACACAGCCTGGCACCACACTAAACTCCCCAGTCCAGACTTATAAAAATTCCCTTGAGCTTCTGCCTCTTTGAAGACAGCAGTCAGCCTCTGGCCTGCTGCACTGCCCATTGTTCTCTTACAACATTTTCTGTCTTTGATAAATCTGGCTTTCTAAGTTTATAAATGTCTTGGTAAGTTCCTTTACCACCTGCGTAATTCTGGCCTCAACTATTCATATGCATGACACTTCCCACATACCTTGCCCTATGCATCTCTTCCATCTGGCTGTTCCTGAATTGTATCCTTTTATAATAAACTGATAATCTAGTCAGTAAACTGTTTTCCCAAGTTCTGTGAGCCATTCTAGCAAATGATCAAACATGGGAAGTTGTAGGAACCTCTGATTTATAACCATTCCCAGTCAGAAGTGCAGGTAACAGCCTGGACTTGTGGTTGGCATCTGAAGTAGGGGAGTCTTTTGGGACTGATCTCTTTTTTTTTTTTCATTAATCAGTATTTTTTATTATGGTAGGGACTGATCTCTTAACCAGTGGGGTCTGTGCAAACTCCAGGCAGATAGTGTCAGAATTGAGTTAAACTGTGGGACAGCCAGTTGGTATCCAAAGAGAATTGGAGAATTGCCTGGTGTGGAAAAAACTCCCACACATCTGGTGCCAGAATTGAAAGTATAAGGGAAATCAGTTTATTTTTCCTATGCACTAGGTGTCAGAAATGGGATTTACTAAAATGGCCCTCACTCACAGAAACATGTGGTTTGGGAAGGAAAGAAAGGGTGGGGTGAGGAACCTTTGATTCCTGGGTGCCACGTGATCACATGTAGTATAGAGTTACAGCTATGCTGAGATCAGTTACTAAAGGTAAACACTACCCCAAGGAGTTGATTCACTGTATGGACAGGAAATGCAAACTAATAACAAAAGGTGAAATATTCAATCCCTTGGTTATTGTTATCTGTAATAGCCAAAATAAAATTAAAAGAGAGTGCTGGGTTGGATCTTAATGCTAGACTGAGCTGGGATTTCAGTGAGCCTGTGCTCTAGCCACCAACTTCAGTGCTACCTTCAAGGGAAAAATTATGCAGAGACTACAGAAAGTACTGCCAAGAACTCTAGTCACCATCTTGGTAGTTCACTTGAGAGAAGAGCAAAACCAAGAAACTACTGAAATCAGAAGAAATTGCTTCATTTTGTATATCGGTATCATCAGCTTCCCAAAGAACCATTACTAAAATGGATTGTGAGAGTAACTAACGTAGGGGCCTTGTCTTTGGTTTTGAATTCTGCAGCGTGGAAGAGCATGTTTGGGTTGACCCACAGCTCTCTTTCTTTTTTTAATAGAGACAAGGTCTCATTATATTGCCCAGATTGATCTTGAACTCTTGGATTCAAGCAATCCTCCCACCTTGGCCTCCCAAAGTATTAGGATTGTATACGTGAGCCACCTTGCTAGGTTCACTCACAGCTCTCTATGAAACAATCTCAAATGTTTCAGGTTATTCACACATACAGGAGGTTATTCCTGAGAGAATACCTAACCTGGTGGACTGGATAAAAGCCACAATTAGGTCTGTTTACCCTGAGAAGGGAACTGTCCCTCTCCCCCATAAATGTCAAGAGGAACATGCCTAATAAAACAGCCGATATGCTGCAGCGGGTTATTTACCCACTGAGTATACCCAATTTCCCAGGTCATGGTAAATGCTGTGGTTAAGGGGGTGTCTTCTACATGGGCACCCTATATGACCTTACTGCTGCAAAACCAAAGGACAGTTCTGGAAGGCTTAATGAATTTTCCCTCTCACCTTCCCCTTATGGGTCTTACAGATGCTAATAAAAACATTAGGTTAATTAACTAGAGAATGGGGAAAGGCACAGAGAGACAAGGGACGGGTCTTAGCAGGGTGGAAATTTCCCAATGGCTATTAAGAAACAAGCTGAATAAAACAGATATTGATCAAAGCCAAACAAAAAAGCCATGCGCAGAGCTTTTTAAAACCTTCATCTGGAGGTGCTCTTCCATGCCATGTGAAAGATCAAAATGTGCCCAGACCCCTCATTAGCTATAATGTATATGTGAGTTGAATTGAGCTGCTGCCGACTGGCTGGCAGCCCTGGCAGACACAGCTTTTAGGAGCAAGGGCTCTTCTTTGCTTCCATGCAGTTTTGGAATAAATGACAAGTGAGGAGGCAGGGAAGTGGAGGCACTTTCCAGAAAAGGCAATCTTTCATATAGACATTTCCAGCGGGGCATGGTGACTCAAGCCTGTAATCCCAGCATTTTGAGAGGCCAAGAAGAGAGAATTGCCTGAGCCCAGGAGTTTGAGACCAGCCTGGGCAACTTGTTGAGATTTCATCTCTACAATGAATCAAAAACTTAGCTGGGTGTGGTAGCATGCACCTGTGGTTCTGGCTACTTGGAAGGCTGAGGTGGAAGGATTCAGTGGGTTGAGGCTGCAGTGGCCATGAGCATGACACGGCACTCCAGCCTGGATGATGAAGTGAGACTTCAACTCAAAAAAGAAAAAACATTTCCACTCCTTTTCACCACATTAAGAAGTGGGAAGA